TAAGTGGTGATATTGCCTGAATGTGTAGGCTATGCATACAGCATGCAGATGAGGAATTGTCAAGCCAATTAAATCAAAATGCCAGCCATCTTACCCAGCACCCCCTGCTGAATATACTTTTTTTTCCATGGAGTCCTTTTGCCAGTCCAGTGACATCAGCAGGATATCAGCCTCCTCCTTTAGTGACAGCGGGGAAGCAGGTATTCTTCCCGGATTGAGCAGCGTTTGCAGAATGACGCGCGAGTGCCGCAAAGTGCTAGAGTACTGTGAGCAATGTGTGACATGGTAAAGGACAGGGTGGGCTCACAGGAAATGGGCAGAATGACAGGACTGTCATTCTGTCCAAAAGGACTGCCAATACACAAACCTATGTCCTGTTAGTTTAGGGAGCAGCACACTTATCAAGGTCAGGGGCGGACTGACCATTTGGAAACTTGGGCACTGCCCGAGGGCCCAGGGTCAGCAGGGGGCCCCATGAGATGCCCCTGGTACCTTTTTCATAGGCTTTTTTGAGTTTGGACAAGGACACGGGCCCCATGATCTCCTTTTGCCCGGGGGCCCCATGAGTTGTCAGTCCGCACCTGATCAAGGTAGTTCGTTTCAGGTCCAATTAGGCTTTATGCTCGGGTAGTGCAATGGTGCATGTTATGGTGCAACCTCCTGTCCCAGACTGGCTGTCATAACTAGGTGGATCCCTTTGAGAACGTGCGTGTGCACGAAACGTGTCAGTAGGAGCCTACGTGCTGATGTCACGCTGCCGTGTCTATGTGATGGTCTGGCAGCCATCTTTGTAAGTGCTGTTTATCCATTGATGATTTTATGCTCCACGTGGTTGCTATCTTTTTAATAAAACATATTATACTATATGATACTGTCTCCGGGCTCTGTCTATGAGCTTGCCCTCTAGGAGGAATCCCTTTAATTGGTTCACCGCATATTGCATATTGTCTGTCTGGCGACTAAGTGACATAGGACAGGGAGAGCACCACAGCTGAACAACTACTTAAATAAAATCAATTGGTCAAGTAGAGGATACAAAAAATGGCCACTGCCCCAGTCTATAACTGGCCTTCACAGCAAAGAGCACGCGAAAGGGCAACACATGTCAAACAAAAGAGAAAAGGTCCCAGCCTGCAAACAAACCGAATTAACCTGTCTAACAGTATGCGTTAAAAACTGGGGTTTAGTTAGCACACATTTGCAAACACATGCGTAAGCTGCAGAGCCTCATCATGGCACCGATAGTCTGTAGTCCTACCTCTACAAAGTTTGGCCATTTTATGTACGGTTGAATTTTTGGTAAGGGGGCGCACTGAACACCTTAGCTACCATTGTGCTATACGCTGGGTGTCCAGTGCGCTCCTGTACCTTTAACCACTTCCTGTCCGGCCCATGTATATAAACAGCTGGACGGGAGCAGTGCAGGGGTGGGTGGCCGTTTAGAAACAGCCTCCCCGCCAACCGCTTGTGCGCGCTCCCTGGGAGCGCACAGCACCACGATCCGGTGCCCACTGTGTCTGGAGGACACAGTGGAACACCAATCGTTGTACGGGACCTCTGTGTGAGGTCCCAATCATGTGATCACTGATTGGCCAATCAGTGATCACATGAAGAGTAGTAAGCAAGATGTCACTTCTGACATCATTGCTTACTACCTGTGAAATCTGTGAAGGATCACAGAGATCACGATACAAGGCTATTCACAACAGCCTTGTACCACGTGACAAGCTGTGACCAATCACAGCTCACACACTATTTCTCAATGGCTGCAAGAATGCAACCAGAGAGAAAGAGAAATGATTGCTTTTACAGCCTTTATGGATGTAACAGCAATCAGTGTAAAAAAAAAAGAAATCTTCATAACCCCCACAAGTAGTACAGTGTCACTATGGTGACACTGTACTGCTAGGGTGACGGTATGTTAAAAAAAAAAAGCCCATAAATAATATAAAAAAATAAAAAATGTAAAAAAACAATTTTGAAAAATTATAATTTTTGGTTAAAAAAAAAAAACCCAAATTATTTTATAACTAAAAAGATAACTGAATACATTTTGGCCAAGATTTATGAACAAAGATTATTTATTTTATTATAAATTTTATAAGAAAAACACTTTTTTTTCAAAATTATGGGACTTTTTCATTTATATAGCAAAAAATAAATAAAAATCCCAGTGGTGAATAAATAATACCACCAAAATAAAGTTTTATCGGTCTCAAAAAAAAATTCTAAAAAATTCATATGGGTACAGTGTTGCATGACCACGCAATTGTCATTCAAAGTGTGAGCACTGAAAGCTGAAAATTGGCCTGGACTAGAAGGGGTTGAAAGTGTCCGGACTTGGTTAAGGAGGGGTGGGCACCCTCAGGTCCACCTGCCCTTGGTCTATCCATTACATGCACGTGCCTCTACTATGGGGGCTCTCAACATTTGTAGTTATGACTACAGACTATCGGTGCCGTGACAAGGCTCTGTGGCTTACGCATGTGTTTGCAAATGTGTGCTAACTAAACCTGTTTTTAACACATACTGTAAGTCAAATAGAGGAGCCTATTTATAATGGAGAGTGGACTTTGCCATCCTCTGCATTGTGCAGGCATTTTACGACTCATTCAGAAAATTAGATTGTGGTGTGTAGCCTTTTGGAGGTACATATCAAAGTATCATCCACATGAATGGCAGGACCCATGGTGTCCCAAGCAGAACATTGCCTAAAACATCACACTGCCTTCTTCCCATACTGCATGCTGGTGCCAACTCGTCGCCAGATAAGCAATGCACACCCACCTGGCCATCCACATAATGTAAAAGAAAACATGAATCGTCAGACCAGGCCACCTTCTTCCATTGCTTCATGGCCTCATTCTGATGCTGTAAGGGAATTCCTGTATGGCAACTGGCTAATAGAAATGCGCGCACACGGGTGCACACACACAGGAGCGTGGCCACTGTTTCTGGCGCCAGACAGACCATTTAAAGGAAGCTTTTACTCTCTGTCAGTGCTGGTCTTCAGCTAACTTCCTATTTCCTGCTGTATCCTGTGTGTATCAGTTACTGACCCGGCTTGCCATTGACCTGCTCTTGGATTCTGTTTATGCTTCTGCTCATCGGTTTCTGATCCTGGCTTCCTCCTGACTTTGTCCCTATCTGATGTTTCGGTACCTTATCGCCTGCTCATTGTTGACCCTGGCTATTACTCTGACTATGCTTCCGGTTCCAGTTTTGGCTCTACAGTCCTGCTGAGTGCCTGTCCTGGCTGTCATTACATCAGCTCCGGTCGTCACGGTGTGCTCCGGCCTCACGCTTATCAGAAGTTCCGGCAAGCCACGTACACAGATCTTACAGTTCCAATGGAGTGCTTCCTTAACTTCAGCATGCCGTTCCGGCATCTCCTCTGTTCCTGACTGGATGCCCTGTCTGATTTACTGAGGTTACATCACCAGCTGCAAGTTCCACAATCAATATCCACAGGCACTCGTGTTTCTCCTGTCCCTCGGCACCATCTGTTTCACCTTCAGTGGGGCCTGGCTGACCTTGTCAATTCAGACTTCTATCAGGTATGTGACAGATGCTCACGTGCCCATTGTAGGCACTTTGGCCGTGGACATGCTCCAGCATGGGCACTCCGATTGGTCTGTGCCTACGCAGTCCCGTACACAGCAAACTGCAATGCACTCTGTGTTCTAACACTTCTCTAGTGTAACAAGCATTACCTTTTTCAGCAGTTTGAGCTACAGTAGCTCTTCTATTAAAAGAGACTATACAGGCCATCTTTCCGTCTTTGCTCCCGCATGTATCAATGAGCCTTGGCCAACCATGACCTTGTCATTGACTTTTCTTCCATGGACCACATTTGGTCAATCCTCACCACTGTAGATTGGGAACCTCCAAAAACAGCTGCAATTTTGGGGCTAGTCTGACCAAACCGGCCAGGTATTACAATTTAGCCCTTGTTAAAGTTGCTCAAATCCTTACACTTGACCATTTTTTTCTGCTTTTAACACATCAACTTTAGGGACAACATACTCACTTGTTGCCTAATGTATCCCACCCACTTTCAGGTTCTGCTGTAACATGACAATCAATATTATTCATTTTACCTGTGGTCATATTATTATGGCTGATCAGTATATAAACCTTCTCCCACATACTGTACATATCAAATGTAACCTGTACACAGTGAAGATTCACATTAAAAAAGTAGTGGTCTCACCATTCGGCCCTTGTGCGGAAGAGCATAAATTGGCTCAAATGCCAAATTTTCATCTCCCCTTGGCGACGCCTGCTGAACAAATTGTTTTTCAATATCCGACATTTGCTCTTCTGTTCCGTTATCATCATCATCATCAAACTCTGACATAATGGGAACATTTTGCTTGTTCTGATTATTCCGGTAGGCTGTCCAGTTTTGTCTGAAATCAAATTTGGTCATTATCAGACACGTGGATATAAGGACCAGGGCATTGGAAATTTCCTAAATCCTCACCCTGCCATGGAAAGCACTGGTCCTAACCTTCATGACAATAAAAGAAGAGGTGAGCACAGAACAACACACATGTGAAGGAATCAAGGGCAGCATAGAGGAGTACCTCTTTGCAGAGCCCTTATTAGGAATTCAAGCATCCACCTAACAGGAGGAAGAATTTTGCTCTGCACCCTTGAGGAAAGGAAAGGCCAATCCACAGTGACCAGACCTGTTTCTTCTTGACCGAGGATCCATGAGCTTTTGATATATACTGCTTATATATATCCACCTTCTGGTGAGTGCGCATTTCTGCTACTTCCTCACAGATCACCATTGTGGATTTCCATTTGTCACCTGGCACGTTTATATGAACTGGACTTACAGTGGACAATTTTCAGATTTATTACTTAGCGCTGCACTTTTATTTATATTATTCTGTATAAGTATTTATTGGTTACTTAGAGTGCTTAGCTGCTTTCTAGGATCAGCGCTCACTTTTTTCATTTTCTATAGAATAAAAGAAGAGGGTCACTACTTACGCTAGTCCGAGCTCTGAGGCCGAAGCATAGGGTTCAATGTGCTCTGTTTCACATATGCTGTCAGAGTAGGACCTTTGGCGAGGCTGTGGTATGGCGACTGTGCGACCGGTTAAAGAGGTCATCAAAACAGCAGCAGCAAGAGCGGACCTATACGATTAATAGGATGATAGGAAGTTCTGTTTATACACAAATACTTCAACTGTACCGAACACCAAACCTTCCAATGGGGACCGGCAACAATGGTCTGAGAGGGGATTTTCTGGCACTTTGGAGAGACTTCCTCACACTTCCTGTTGTGACTCAGGGACCGAATGTAGAGGCAAGACTGCCCAACAGGACACAAACATTTATAAAAAAAATAAAATTTAAAAAACCTGACATTTTTAACCCATCCCTACTCTATGAAAATAAAAAGAAATTTGTCTTCAAATAAACTTATTTATTTATTTCAGGTACTTATATAGCGCCGTCAATGTATGCCGCGCTTTACATACATATTGTACATTCACATCAGTCCCTAACCCTCAAGGGGCGTACAATCTAAGGTCCCTAACTCACATTCCTACATACTAGGGCCAATTTAGACAGGATCCAATTCACCTACCAGCATGTCTTTGGAGTGTGGGAGGAAACCGGAGTACCTGGAGCAGGGGCGCACTGACAACTCATGGGGCCCCCGGGCAATAGGGGATCATGGGGCCCCTGTGTCCTTGCCTAAACTCAAAAAAGCCTATGAAAAAAGGTACCAGGGCATCTCATGGGGCCCCCTACTGACCCCGGGCCCTCGGGCAGTGCCCGAGTTTCCAAATGGTCAGTCCGCCCCTGACCTGGAGTAAACCTACGCAGGCACTTATACGAGAAATGGCATTTTTTTTAACAAGTTAAATATTGCAGCTGCTGACTTTTAAAGGATAAGTTCACTTTAAAATTAAATAAATAAATGCCCCCTTTTTTTTGCAGGTGAAAAAAAAAAAAAAAACATTTACTAATTTATTTTTTGGAGCCTGGAAAGTATTGCTGATCACTGGTGCTATGCAGGGCTCCTGTAAACTGTCAGTGAATCTGTGCGCCTCTACATCTCGTACGGGCAAGCAGATACAGTCAGACAGGAAGACTCAGTGAACTACCACAGTGCTCAACAGCGCCGTAGTAGTTCATTGAAAACTGCAAGCTGACAGCCGCAAAGGCTGTCAGGACTTGTAGTTCATTCATTCACACAAATCTGTGAATGAATTATGTGGCTGAGTGGGTGGAGCTCTGCATGGCCACACTAGTTTCAAAAAGTGACAGCTAGTATGGGGAACTTTTCCCCACACTGCTGTCATGGGGTGGGAAATCAGGCAGCGGCTGCAGTGGTGGGTACGCATTACATGTTCCACGCTAAAAACAGGTGGAACATGTAACATGTTCCTAAAGGCAGTGTTTCTCAACTCCAGTCCTCATGGACCCCCAACAGGTCATGTTTTCAGGATTTCCCTCAGATGAAACAGCTGTGGTAATTACTAAGGCAGTGAAACTGATCAAATCACCTGTGCAAAATAATGGAAATCCTGAAAACATGACCTGTTGGGGGTCCATGAGGACTGGAGTTGAGAAACACTGCTAAAGGTGAACTTATCCTTTAAAAATGAGTCACTTACCAGCACCTGCGGCCCAGTATTATCTTCCTGCAGTTGGTTCTTTTTACAACAGCAGGTCCCCAGCACCACCGTATTGAATCCTGAGGAATCACAGCCATCCCCCCACTGTCATGCACAACACTGCATGGTGCTGTGGGACTGGTCCTGCAACCTCCTGGGGAGTATGACTTGTCCAAGGAGGATGCAGGTGGGGGGCACGGTGTGTGCCCAAGTACACAACATTCTCTCCTAGGCAAGAATTGAGGAAGTGGGAAGGGGTAGCTGTCAAAAAAGGCTCCCACTCCCCTGTGTCAAAAGTATTGGGGATGAGGTGGGAAGTTAAAGGATACGTTCACCTTTTGGACAAAAATAATAAATGCACGTTTTTGTGCAGGTAAAAAAGTGTGCGTTTATTATTTTTGTCCAAAGGAGCCTCAGTAGATCTCTGATGCCATGCAGGTCTCCTGCAGACCTGTCAGAATATCTGCTTGCTGTACGGGATGTACGGCAAAGCAGATATACTGACAGGAAGCTTCAATGAACTACAATGGAGCTCCACGGCACCCTGGTAGTTCATTGAAAACTACAAGCCGACAGCCACTAAGGCTGCCTGGACTTGTAGTCACTCATTCACAGAACTCTGTGAATGAGTGACGTGGCTGTGTGGGCGGAGCCACACTGTTTTCAAATCTGACAGATAGTACAGGAAGACTTCTCCCCGTACTGTCAGAGAAAGGGGAGGGGGCAGAGGGCATGGCTGCGGCTATAGGAACATGCTACATGTTCCACCCTAAAAACAGGTTGAACATGTAACATGTTCCAAAGGTGAACTTATCCTTTAAATAAGCGGCACTTTCACTTCAGAGTGAATGTGATTAAATCGAATCATTTTATAGGATACAAGGAGCCTATCAGATGTTAAAGAACTACAAGTTCCAGTATGCACTAGCAGTTAGACAATGCATTTCCTCAACAGGAGTCACAGGTTGTTGAAATATACCCACATATGAAAATTATCTTCAGGGAAAAGTTGTTTCAAAGTGCAATTATGTTTCCCCAACCCCCCCCCAACAGATGAATATTCACCTTCATCTAAAGGCCATAGTGCCTGTTTGTTCACATCAAAAGGTTCAAGTCTTCAGTGTCCTGGCCACGCCTGCGCATTACGGCTCCCCAGACTTCTATAGGGCTTTGACCACAGGTTGGAGAGGATGTAACACAGCCCTATAAAAGTCTATGAGGGCTGCAATGTGCAGGCACGGCCACAGGAGCAAAGCCTTGTAGCTAAACAGGAAGTGAGTGAAAATCCCTGCAAATGAAGGAAAGTCCCCCAGATCACCGGACTTAGTGTCCCCATTGGAAAATTTCCCCTCTATTATTTTTCTGGGGACAAACCAAAATTTGAGGGATTTTTTTTTTTAACTTTCATTTTTAAAGACAATGGTAAACAGGACAAATAAAGAGGGTGAATCTCCCTAACAGGGGGGCACAGACCGTAATAAAAACCTGACGGGGGTTCTAATTCCTCTACTCTGTCCAAAACTTAAAAAAAAATTGCCTTTAATAATGTGAATGTGTGTCAATGTTTAAAACTGTTCTGCAGGCAAACAGCTGAATACACAGATGAAATCGATATATTGAAGTTGTTTTAGCAGCCTAAGAATGAATATTTCTGTCCATTCAGTCCTGAGATTGACACAGCTCTGCCACAGAGCACAGCCTGATCTGGCAGGGCAGGAGACCTTTCTTCTCTGCAGCAGTTCACTAACACTTACAGGTCTTGTCCCTCCCCCAGCTTGTGCTTGGCCAATGAAGAAGAAGCAGCAGAGGGATAAAGTCATCTTTTTGCTCTCTCATCCTATCGGCACGTTGCTTGCCCTGAAGCACACCTGATTGGCTCCTTGTGCTGTTTTGCCCTCCCCCAGTCTGAGCTCTGCTGTACACAGACTGCAAGAGGCCAATACCAGGTCACATTCATGTACTTGCACTGCCTGTATTTAAACATACCCATATAATAATAATAACGTATTAATTATTAGGAGCTGCAATAACGTGTGCCCTGGAGTGTAGCCATACACCCTGCAATCTGACAATCTCCTATGGATCTGCCAACAGCTGGAGTAGAAGACCCTTTCTGACTGGATTGGAACAGATCAGTTTGGTAGGAAGTCATACAGTAGGAATAGTTTTTGGAAGATCGAAGGTAAATTGTACAATCAGATGGTAGTGTGTGTAGTCAGCTTTACACCTTCTCGGCTGGTAACCCATTCATGTATGTATGTATGTATGCATGTATGCATGTATGTGCCCAGTTCATTGCACACCCCCTTAGGTGACAATTTCTACCGTCCCCTTGCCTGGTATGAGGGTGTCAACAGATCATCTGCCAGAACCAGTATGAGGAAAGGGGTGGAGCCAGATGAAACAGGACATTAAAAAGTGGAAAGGAAGGTCATATATGTGGAAAGAGAGAAGAAGAGGAGAATGACATAGAGAGCCGTGCAGAGACTCGCTCACACCTACCTGGGTCTCTCTGGAGAGGGGTTTGGGCTACGGGGAGGAGGGGTGCGAGGAACGGCGGAGCGGGGGGCTACGGTGGCTGCAGGGATGAGGCCATGAGCAATGTGCTTCTATACAAGGAAGACAATCAGCAGTCAGTGTCAGCACAGAAATCATTTATTACAGATAACAATTTACAATTCTGTCAGTGAGGAGCCGCACCATAGGCTCCGAATCACACCGCGGGCTCCGAGTCACATCATGGGTTTGGAATCACACCGCGGGCTCCGAGTCACACCATGGGTTCGGAATCACACCGCGGGCTCCGAGTCACATCATGGGTTCGGAATCACACCACGGGCTCCGAGTCACATCATGGGTTCGGAATCACACCGCGGGCTCCGAGTCACATCATGGGTTCGGAATCACACCGCGGGCTCCGAGTCACACCATGGGTTCGGAATCACACCGCGGGCTCCGAGTCACATCATGGGTTCGGAATCACACCGCGGGCTCCGAGTCACATCATGGGTTCGGAATCACACCACGGGCTCCGAGTCACATCATGGGTTCGGAATCACACCACGGGCTCCGAGTCACATCATGGGTTCCGAATCACACCGCGGGCTCCGAGTCACATCATGGGTTCGGAATCACACCACGGGCTCCGAGTCACATCATGGGTTCGGAATCACACCACGGGCTCCGAGTCACATCATGGGTTCGGAATCACACCACGGGCTCCGAGTCACATCATGGGTTCCGAATCACACCGCGGGCTCCGAGTCACATCATGGGTTCCGAATCACACCACGGGCTCCGAGTCACATCATGGGTTCGGAATCACACCGCGGGCTCCGAGTCACATCATGGGCTCCGAGTCACATCATGGGTTCGGAATCACACCGCGGGCTCCGAGTCACATCATGGGTTCGGAATCACACCGCGGGCTCCGAGTCACATCATGGGTTCCGAATCACACCATGGGTTCGGAATCACACCACGGGCTCCGAGTCACATCATGGGTTCGGAATCACACCACGGGCTCCGAGTCACATCATGGGTTCGGAATCACACCACGGGCTCCGAGTCACATCATGGGTTCGGAATCACACCACGGGCTCCGAGTCACATCATGGGTTCCGAATCACACCGCGGGCTCCGAGTCACATCATGGGTTCCGAATCACACCGCGGGCTCGGAATCACACCGCGGGCTCCGAGTCACATCATGGGTTCGGAATCACACCACGGGCTCCGAGTCACATCATGGGTTCGGAATCACACCACGGGCTCCGAGTCACATCATGGGTTTGGAATCACACCACGGGCTCCGAGTCACATCATGGGTTTGGAATCACACCACGGGCTCCGAGTCACATCATGGGTTCCGAATCACACCGCGGGCTCCGAGTCAGAGCACTACGTGTCACTTTACAGACGGAACACACAGAGTGGTCAGTGTACGGAAGGAATTCTCTAATAAGGAACTATATATTCTAGCAGTGTTGAGTAAGGGGGGGGAGGGGGCCGACTATAACTCCCAGCGTGTCTTATCAGTCTGTGGTGAGGAACTATAACTCCCAGCAAGTACTGTCAGTCTCTCTGGGGAGAGGAACTATAACTCCCAGCATGTCCTGTCAGTCTCTCTGGTGGGGGGGAGAACTATAACTCCCAGCATGTCCTGTCAGTCTCTCTGGTGGGGGGAGAACTATAACTCCCAGCATGCCCTGTCAGTCCTTCTGGTGGGGGTGAACTATAACTCCCAGCATGTCCTGTCATTCTCTCTGGGGGGGAGAACTATAACTCCCAGCATGTCCTGTCAGTCTCTCTGGTGGGGGTGAACTATAACTCCCAGCATGTCCTGTCAGTCTCTCTGGTGGGGGTGAACTATAACTCCCAGCATGTCCTGTCAGTCCCTCTGGTGGGGGTGAACTATAACTCCCAGCATGTCCTGTCAGTCTCTCTGGGGGAGAGGAACTATAACTCCCAGCATGTCCTGTCAGTCTCTCTGGTGGGGGGAGAACTATAACTCCCAGCATGTCCTGTCAGTCTCTATGGTGGGGGGAGAACTATAACTCCCAGCATGTCCTGTCAGTCTCTCTGGGGGGAGAACTATAACTCCCAGCATGCCCTGTCAGTCCTTCTGGTGGGGGTGAACTATAACTCCCAGCATGTCCTGTCAGTCTCTCTGGTGGGGGTGAACTATAACTCCCAGCATGTCCTGTCAGTCTCTCTGGTGGGGGTGAACTATAACTCCCAGCATGTCCTGTCAGTCCCTCTGGTGGGGGTGAACTATAACTCCCAGCATGTCCTGTCAGTCTCTCTGGGGGGAGAACTATAACTCCCAGCATCCCCTGTCAGTCCCTCTGGTGGGGGGAGAACTAAAACTCCCAGCATGTCCTGTCAGTCCCTCTGGTGGGGGGAGAACTATAACTCCCAGCATGTCCTGTCAGGGAGTCTCACTCACGAACTGGTTGGCTTCTCTCCTCCTGAACGGGAAGGACATGGCTGCGCGATCTCCCCGGGTCTCCTCTCCTCGCACACCGCGTTCTCCGTCCTCCTCAGCCGCTCTTCCTCCCTCAATTCCTTCAACCACCGAATTCTACCGCCACGTGACCACCAGCGTCCAATCCGATCGTCTGCTGGTATCTCTTCCACCAATCGGCGCTCGCCCCCACACGTCGCCCCTGGCAACCCTGTGCGTCTTCCACAGAAGGAAACCGGCCGGGGGGCGTGGAGAGGGAAGTCCCTCCCCGAGGACCAGAGAGCAGTTCTCATTGGGTCACTGGAGTTGAGCGACGGCGGCTCCTCCAATCAGCGATAAAGGAAGAAAAGGCTGCGCGTGGAGAAGTTTGAGGCGCGGGAGAGTCCAGGTGGGGAAGTAGATACAATGTATCAATATTGTCCGAGGGGAGACTTGTTACATTGTATCCTCACTGTCTATATATTATTATTACACTGGGTAGTGCTGCAGAGGGACTGAGCTTTACTGTTCATCGCTTTCTTAGGGTTAGACTTGTGATGTGGCCAGTTGACTTTATCTCAGCAGTTCTGCCGTTGAATAACATTTGTCACCCTCTGATCTACAATCTGCCCCCTACAGGGACACAAATAGAAATATATAGTAAATCCTATAAACTTGACCTCCGCAAGATCCCCCCCCCCCAACCAGGCACTGCGTTACTGTAACTGACAATTGCGCGGTCATGCAACGCTGCACCCAGATGAACTTCATGTCTTTTTTCCCCACAAATTGAGCTTTTTTTTGGTGGTATTTGAGCACCTCTGCGTTATAAACAGTAAAACAATGACAATTTTGAATTAAAATATATTTTTTTAATTTTCTCCTATAAAACATATCCAATAAAAAAATACATTTCTTCATAAGTTTAGTCCAAACTGTATTCTGCTACATATTTGTGGTAAAAAAAGATATATAAGAGTATATTGATTAATTTGCGCAAAAAACTATGGGACATATACTGCAATTTTATTTATTTTTTTAACCTCCTCGGCAGTCTGATTATTTCAGATTTTTGGTGCTGAAAGCGGTACCATTTTTTTGCATGGAAATATGTAGTTTTTTTAATTGTAGGCTGTAATTCTTAGGAATAACTCACTGAAATCTGTCCGAACAAGAGTCTAGTAAACATCCCGGGTAGGATAAAACTTGAAACACGAAATCATAAATTATAATTTAATAAATACTCAAAAAATAATAATATAATAATAATACATTTTATTCAATAATACAATCAAACCAAAAACACTGAAATGTGAAATATAGCGCCAAGTTCGCACATCACTGAGCAAAGTTGCAAAATCGTTTTCAGTGTCTGATGAGGAATTTCCCCCACGAATCATTATCACTCAATTCTGCAAGTGGTTCTGATTTACTATCGCTGTTCTCTAGCCGGTCTAAAACCGCTTTTGACCTAAAGGGACGCTTTTTGGACGCCATGGACTTTTCTAAGTTTCCAGGCAGAAAGAACAGTAAACATGCAGGCAGGGCGCCGGACAAAGCACTCGGGACAAAATGTATGTGAAATGGTTTGAGACAGGAATGTTTTGCTATGAAATAATCGTTTTTTAAAAAAATTTCATTTTTTTTAAATTTTCAAATTTCCTGCCAGTTCTGTCTCCCGTACGTCCCGACGTCACAGGGACCGGAACACGGAAGCCAGGTGCCGGCATCGGCTGGAGGAGATGGGACGCTGCAGGGGACGCATTGCGGGAGCGAAGGACAAGGTAAGCGCTGTAGGGAATCCCTGTGCAACGCCGCATGGTAAGCCCGAGTGTAGGTCGGGGTTACCGCTTGTGGTACTGAAACTTTACCCCGAGCTACACTCGGGAATACCGCTAGGGAGGTTAATACTAGTAATGGCGGCGATCAGCAACTTATAGCGAGACTGCAATATTGCGGCAGACATTTTTACACTAACTGTCGCTTTTACTAGAGGAAGCGAAGTATCATGTTCCCAGATTTGCAGGGACACACGATCCTTCACAAACTATGGAATGTATACTGCAATTTATTTATTTATTTTTTTAATACTAGTAATGGCGGCTTAAAGCGGGACTGTGATATTGCGGCAGACATTTTTACACTAACTGTCATTTTTACTAGGGGAAGTGAAGTATCATGTTCCCACATTTGCAGGGACACATGATCCTTCACAAACTATGGATATACTGCAATTTAATTTAATTTTTTAATACTAGTAATGGCGGCTATCAGCGGCTTATAGTGGGACTGCGATATTGCGGCAGACATTTTTACACTAACTGTCACTTTTACTAGGGGAAGTGAAGTATCATGTTCCCACATTTGCAGGGACACATGATCCTTCACAAACTATGGATATACTGCAATTTAATTTATTTTTTTAATACTAGTAATGTTGGCAATCAGCGACTTATAGCGGGACTGCGATATTGCGGCAGACATTTTTACACAAACTGTCACTTTTACTAGGGGAAGTGAATTATCATGTTCCCAGATTTGCATGGGCACACAATCCTTTATAAACTATGTAATGTATACTGCAATTTATTTATTTTTTTAATACTAGTAATGACGGCGATCATCGACTTATAGCAGGACTGCGATATTGCGGCGGACATTTTTACACTGTCACTTTAGGGGAACCCTAATCACTAATCAGTAAAAATACGCACTGACACTGTACTAATGACACTGGGTGGGAAGGGGTTAAACTTCTAGGGTGATCGAAGGGTTAACTGTGTGCCTAGCTATGTGCTTGATGTACACTAGGTGGTGCTTTTACTAGGGGAAGTGAAGGATTGTGTTCCCAGCCCTGCAGGGACACACGATCCTTTACTCCCCCCCAGCGTCAGAACAGAGCTCTGCCTTTTTTTTACTTAGGCACAGCTGTGTTCTGTGTGCTGCTGGTGGGTGCAGCAGACACTTGCACAGTTCGGCTTCCTGCATTCAGCCCCCCCCCCATGGCGAAACTGCAAAATCTGTATATATATGCGCATGATTTTGTATAGGGCAGACCTTAAGTGGGTATATACCAGCCCCAATGGTGAGCTCACTGATTGTATGTGATATGTTCTTTCTTTACAACTTGCCTTTTTGTGGTGCAGGTCCGGTGTCACCCCGTATAGGTTGCATGCCGACGATCCCCGCAGGATTGATTGGATCTGCAGATTGGGGAGCATAATGGATCGGACTCCGATCCATTATGCTCAATCCTCAGATCCGATCCATCCAGCGGGGATCGTCGGCTTTCTTTACAACTTACCTTTTCTTGGAGCAGGTCCGGTGTCACTCGGTGCGGTCGGTGTCACCCGTGCGGGCCGCACCCCCTGCACCTGCCTCGGGATGCCACTGGGTCTGATGGACGGTTAATGTCACCATAAATAGGACCTGTCACTTCCTGACTCATAGGGGACTTGTGGGCCATGTTTTGATAGCAATAAATTTAATTAAAAAAATGTAAAGAGTTAAAAATAAAAAACGATATAAAATTCATTAAAAAAAAAAAAATTCGTAGTGTAAGGCAAGCACATGTCAAATTGCACCACGTGTGAGGTATTGCCACCAATGTCAAAGAGCAATTGCTCCCCACTCCCCAAAGGTGCCGATCCATATTGGGGAGTGGGGACGAAGCTTTTTGGGTGGAGCTCCGCTTTAATGTGTGTGCAATAATGCAACACAGCACGCCTGCAGTAATAGTGCATTGTATGCGCCACTGACAATACACTGAACATGTTCTCTAAGGAGATGTTTAATCTTTGTCACTCTCTCCCAGAATGGTTCCATGGCCTGAAAGGGACAGAAGTGTTTAAATGGCCACACAGGAAGGTACTCCAATCAGAGCTGGCGCTGCCGCCCTTCCCTATGGTCATGTGATCGGGAGCGAGAAGTGGAGGGGGAGCGCTCTGGCTCAGTTATTACAAGGTGAGATGGATGCTAATAATGAGATCCTTCAAAGAGACTTCTATCCAAATGTTGGAAATCAGACTTTGAATACCAATAAAATCAGTAAAGTATATTAATAAAGTACCAGGGGTGTCACAGACATAGGAAACCAGACGCAGCCGGACGTGGCACTGTCACTTCATTAATAATAAACACACATTTTCTTACCTTCAATCCATTGCGGATCAATGAAATTAACTCGGAATTAGTCTTTAATCTGAGGAAGAGGGAACAATGTGTGATGCTGGTCATCTCTCCAACATTTCCCTCTGCAGGTAAAATAAAACTGATGTTTGAAGACAGTCTGGGGCTGGTAGATTTCCACCTTTCCAACAGAGTCTGCATCCTCTACATAACGGAGACTGACCTGGTGTCAGGAAATGCCTTTAAAAGACGTCTTGTCCGATTTCGCAAAGTAAGTGATTGATGTTTTCTAATGATTTATCTAACACGATCGCTGTTTTATTATCATGATTAAAATATTATTATTAATAATCATCATCGTCATCATAATGTTCTTTTTTACTTTCATTATTTTATGATTTTTAATATTTAATATGATTATTTTTATTATTATTGTTATTATTTATCATTGTTATTATTTATTTTTTTTACTATTATTAGGGATCACTGTTTTATTATCATGAATAAAATATTATTATTAATAACAATAATAATAATCATCATCATAATGTTCTTTTTTGCTTTTGTTATTGTATGATTTTTAATCTAATTATTATTATTATTATTTTTTTTTTATTATTAATATTATTATTATTGTTGTTATTTATCATTGTTATTATTTATTATTATTACTGTTATTAGGGATCACTGTTTTATTATCATGATTATAATATTATTATTATTCATAATGTTCTTTTTTGCTTTCGTTATAGTATGATTTTTAATCTAATTATTATTATTTTTATTTTTTAATATTATTATTGTTGTTATTTATCATTGTTATTATTTATTATTATTATTACTATTATTAGGGATCACTGTTTTATTATTATTAATAATAATCATCATCATAATGTTCTTTTTTACTTTCGTTATTTTATGATTTTTTATATTTAACCACTTGCCTACCAGGCACTTATACCCCCTTATTTACCAGGCCAATTTTCAGCTTTCAGCGCTGCCGCACTTTGATTGACAATTGCGCGGTCATGCAACATTGTACCCATATGAAATTTTGATCATTTTTTTCTCACAAATAGAACTTTCTTTTGTTGGTATTTAATCGCCACTGGGCGCTTTACTTTTTGCGCTATAAATAAAAAGAGTGCAAAAAATTTGAAAAAAAAAAAAAAAAAGTTTCTTTGTTTCTATTATAAAAATTTTCAAACACGCATTTTTTCTCCTTCACTGATGTGCGTTGATGAGGCAGCACTGATGGGCACTGATAGGTGGCACTGATGGGCAGCACTAAAGGGCACTGATAGGCAGTACTAATGAGGTGGCACGGATAGGCGGCACTGATAGACAGCACTAATGAGGTGTCACGGATAGGCGGCACTAATATGCAGCACTGATAGGTGACACTGATTATGGGTACTGATAGACGGCACTGACTGGCATCACTGCTGGGCACTGACTGGCGGCACTGACTGGAACAACCCCTGGGCACTGACTGGTGGCACTGACTGGCAGCACTGCTGGGTGGCACTGTTGGGCAGCACTGGTGGGTGGGCACAGGTGGGTGGCACTGGTGGGCACAGGTGGGTGGCACTGCTGGGCACAGGTAGGTGGCACTTCTGGGCACAGGTGTGTGACACTGCAGAGTGGCACAGGTGGGTGCACTGCTGGGCACAGGTGGGTGCACTGCTGGGCACAGGTGGGTGATCTGCTGGGCACAGGTGGGCGGAGCTAGTGGGCGCACTGCTGGGCACAGGTGGGCGGAACTTGCGGGTGGCATTGCTGGGCACCAATCATCAGGGCACTGATCATCAGTGCCCTGATGATCGGTGCCGATCCCCGCTCTGACAACTGCCGGTTCTCTGCAGTACTTTCCTCACGATCTGACAGCGTGAGGAAAGTGCAGCCGAGAACCGGCACTTGCATTTCCCTCTGATCAGCGTGTCATTGGACACCGCTGATCACATGGTAAAAGGCCGCTGTGATTGGCCTTTTACCACATCACGTGATCAGCTGTGTCCGTAGGACACAGCGATCACGGAGATCGCCGGGTGCGCGCCCCCTGGGGCGCGCAGGAGAGTGTGATCTGGGAGGACGTCATATGACGTCCACTCAGAACTGGCCGGCCGCAGTGCAGCCGTCATTCGGCTATCTGCGGTCGGCAGGTAGTTAAAGGGGGGATCTACAAGCATTGAATAAACTTTATTAGGAGGTACCTGTACAGCAGCAACATCTTATTAGTCACAGCACTAGTTGTTTACTGCGTAGGATGTGAGAGGCTCCTCATAATGGGCACAGCAGGTGTACAGACCCAGGAACTCAGCACAGGGATGGGGGAACCCCTCATAATGGGCACAGCGGGTGTACTGACCCGGGAACTCAGCAAAGGGGTGGTGGGAACCCCTCATAATGGGCACATCAGGTGTACAGACCTGGGAACTCAGCAAAGGGGTGGTGGGAACCCCTCATAATGGGCACAGCAGGTGTACAGACCTGGGAACTCAGCAAAGGGATGGTGGGAACCCCTCATAATGGGCACAGCAGGTGTACAGACCTGGGAACTCAGCACAGGAACGGTGGGAACCCCTTATAATGGGCACAGCAGGTGTACAAACCCAATAGCTCCGCACAGGGATGGTGGGAACCCCTCATAATGGGCACAGCAGGTATGCAGGCCCAGGAACTCAGCAGAGAGGTGTTGGGAAGCCCTCATAATGAGCACAGCAGGTATACAGATCCATTAACTCAGCACAGGGATAGTGGGAACCCCTTAGGGTGGGCACAGCAGTTGTACAGACCTGGAAACTTGACACAGGGAGGGTGGGAAGCCCTCATAATGAGCACAGCAGTTGTGCAGGCCCAGGAACTCAGCACAGAGATGTTGGGAAGCCCTCATAATGGGCACAGCAGGTATACAGATCCAATAACTCAGCACAGGGATGGTGGGAACCCCTCATAATAGGCACAGCAGGAGTACAGACCTGGAAACTTAGCACAGGGATGTGCAAATCCAGGAACGCAGTGCACAGATGTTACCAAAAGTTCCCTAGAGATAGAGGAGGCTATCGGGTTAACCTTTCACCATCCACCACACACTGAAGTATCCATCTTGGGTGATATAAACCTCTAAATGGTAACGTCTACCCCTTCTCTCATTATGTTTTGGAAGGCCAGTAACCTGAAAGGTGTGGTCATAGTGGAGAAGACACGGATCAGCGAGCAGTACTTTCCTCCAGTACAGAACTTTGTGGTTCTTGAACTCGGCATGTCGTTAATTCCGGTCACCAGTCAGAGCGAAGCAGCACAGCTCATCCTTTGTTTGGTACGTACCAAAACACTATGTTAGTGCCACAGTGCCACAGAACACCCCGCCGTTCACAAGTTCTGGTCCTTGCAGAGTCCACTTGGAAAATGACACTTCCTGGAGTGACTCCAGTGACATGGAGATCTGAGGAAGGACCCAGTGAGACATGTGGGGGCCCCAGGAGATCTCAGAAGTGTCTGTTCCCTAGGAGGTTTTTGGGGGTGAGGACTTGTGATTGGAGCTGTGTTTGGTGGCACATACAGTGGAAATGGTGAGCATTTAGTCTTCTTTTTGGGTTTCACTATTCACTTTTCATGATAGGGTCACCTCAGTGATCTATTTAAATCCCAACTTTGGGCCAAATAAGATATTTCAACCATGTTTTTCCTTTTAAACCCTTCCCAAGTACCTATTAATGTGTCTAAGTCCCCCATTACCTGACTCTCTACTGCTCACCTTCCAATTGAAACCCTGTGTAGTGGTCCACTACTGCAGTTCAGGCCCAAAGCAAGACACCACCACACTCCTGTTGGAGTCTTCAAAACCCTATGAGAACCCCACTGAACTCCCAGTGGGAGTTGTCCATGTAACCAGGCAGCCATGTGGGTATCTGAAAAAGGATCCCACCGCTCTGTAATGAGAAAGCTAGAAGACTTGAGACCTGGCACATCATGTGACCATAGATTTAAGTAATCTGTGTCATCATCACATCTCTGTGCAGTCTTCTGGACCCTATGAGGACCCATTGAAGACCCAGTAAAAGTTGTCCATGTCACCAGGCAGCCATGTGGGTACCCGAAGAAGGTCCCCACCACTCTACGGTAAAGAAAATAGAAGACTTGGGACATGGTGCATCATGTGACCACAGATTTAGGTAATCTGTGACATCACCACAACTCCACTGGAGTCTTCGGAACCCTATGAGGACCCCATAGAAGGACTCAGTGGGAATCATCCATGTCACAGGGAGCCATGTAGGTACCTGAAAAAGGACTCAACCACTCTCTAGTGAAGAAACTAGAAGACTTGAGATCTGGCGCATCATATGACCATAGATTTAAGTAATCTGTGTCATCACCACACCTCTGTGGAGTCTTCTGAACCCTATGAGGACCCATTGAAGACCCAGTAAAAGTTGTCCATGACACCAGGCAGCCATGTGGGTACACGAAGAAGGACCCCACCACTCTGTAGTAAAGAAGATAGAAGACTTGGGACATGGTGCATCATGTGACCACAGATTTAGGTAATATGTGACATCACCACAACTCCACTGGAGTTTGCGAAACCCTATGAGGACCTCATAGAAGGACTCAGTGGGAATTGTCCATGTTACCAGGTACCTGAAAAAGGACCCAACCACTCTCTAGTGAATAAACTAGAAGACTTGGGACCTGGTGGGTGACGTGACCATGGATTTGGGTAAGTATTTGGAGCATGTAGCTTTTTTTATTAATTTTTTTTTTTTACTGAGGTATTGTGGAGCTCAACCAGACCTCAACTCTAATATTTCGGCTTCCTGCAGGTTCATGAATGGAGCAAAGAGGGTGGCAGTAATCCATTTACCGGTAAAAAGCATTGCAGCCTCCTTGATGGTGCCGTCCTGCAGAGCATGCAGAGGATTCCCGGAGTGGGCCGAGTGAAGGCTCAGCAACTCCTGCAGACCTTTCCCAGCCTCCAGGAGCTCTCCAACGCCTCTCTCCCCGAGTTAGAAGCCGTGGTGGGGAAAGGGATGGCCGGCAACAATCCACAAATTCTTTTCCAAAACAACGTGACCCAACCAAACCATGCATTCATGGAAGCTACCAATCAGAAACCAGATCACTACCTGACAGATGCTGATCAGAAACAGCAGCAGAACACAGGATGGTGTAGGTCTGTCATTTGCACCAATGTCTGCCTTCAAATCTGACACTCTTCAAGATTAGCAAACTTTTATTTTGATATGGAATGGACATTGAAAGCGTACTATGTGATGAATGAGAGCACTATGGAATGGATCAGAACACATCTGTATGTACTAAGACAATGAAGAGGCGAATGGCTTCATCGTCTGTGGGTGGTGTTTCTATAATTTCTCACCTATCACATTTGCACTTTGAAGAATTAAAGGAAAATTGTCTCGGAACTTTTCCCAGTATCTTCTATATGTCCAATGAATCATAAACAATTGCCTTTTTCCTTTTTTTTTTTTCTTCCCTTAAACGTTGTTGCATCTGATCTCCGGCAGCCTCTTTACAGCCACTTCCTGCCTGCCTTTTATGCACCCCAGTGATGGCTGCATGCATTTCTGAAGGTGAGTCTCCTGACGGTGACAACAGAGGATCACGCCTGTGAAATGTGTGTAAATAAGGCCGCTTATAGTCACCATGGGAAGCTCATGTGATAGAGTGACAACACAAGCACAATTGGGAGAAAGAGAGTTGTCACCCTGACACAGGAAGTGCCTGAACAAGGACCTTCATGCCAAAATCACCAGGTATTATCCAAATGAAAGCTGCAGATTTAAAAAAATAGGTATGAGACTCACAATTGATATAAATGTCAAAGGCACATCACAAAGAACAGCACTGTCCAATCCACACTGAGGAAGAGGCTAAGCCCTCGAAACGCGTTAGCCTATTGGAAGTCCAGGGTTCCCATTGCAGATTGACATGTAGTGTGGATTGGACAGTGCTGTTCTTTGTGATGTGCCTTTGACATGTATATGAATTGTGAGTACAATACCTATTTTTTTTATCATTTCAATAAATGTTCTTTATGTGCGCCCTCTGTTTGTTTTCTTTGTATCCAGTGCATTTGGACTACCCTGGTCCGTTGAGGGCAGCAAGGAGTGCACAGTCCGGGACATTCGAGATGTAGCCATAGTCCCAGTTGAGTCCATCCCCAAGTGCAGGAGTATTTGACTTTGCTATTTTAGGAATTCATATTAAATGGACTGTACTGCGTTTCTGCAAAATGCTGGGGAAAACGCTTAGGTGTGAACCTGGGGTAAACCAAACATGTGACTCCTGAACCCGGTACAGTGTATGCCTGGAGGCACATTAACCACGAAAATAAGAAAAATGCATTGAAGCACACGCCGCAAGAAAATATAATCCCAACCACAGCACCACCTGCCTGGAGTTTGCATGCTCTCCCTGTGCCTGCGTGGGTTTCCTCTGGGTACTCCGTTTTCCTCCCACACTCCAAAGACATGCTGGTAGCTTACTTGGATCCTGTCTAAATTGGCCCTAGTATATGAATGTGAGTTAGGGACCTTAGATTGTACACCCCTTGAGGGTTAGGGACTGATGTGAATGTACAATATGTGTAAAGTGCTGCGTAAATTGATGGCGCTATATATGTACCTGAAATATATATATATTGTTTTATATGTATATATAAAACAGTGGTGATCAAATAGAAAAATAAAGCTCTATTTGTGTGAAAAAAAAATGGTATACCTTTTAAGTGGGTACAGTGTTGCATGACATTGCCAGTTAAAGTAGCACAGTGCCGAATAGCAAAAATCGCCCTGGTCATGAAGAGGGTAAAATCTTCCAGAGCTGAAGCTAAAGTAGCACAGTGCCGAATAGCAAAAATTGCCCTGGTCATGAAGGGGGTAAAATCTTCCAGAGCTGAAGCTAAAGTAGCGCAGTGCCAAATAGCAAAAATCACCCTGGTCATGAAGGGGGTAAAATCTTCCAGAGCTTAAGTTAAAGTAGCGCAGTGCCGAATAGCAAAACTCACGCTGGTCATGAAGGGGGTAAAATCTTCCAGAGCTGAAGCTAAAGTAGCACAGTGCCGAATAGCAAAAATTGCCCTGGTCATGAAGGGGGTAAAATCTTCCGGAGCTGGTGGATATAGACACAACTATCATCACAATCGCATGGAGTGCAGCCATTTTTGGGGTTACAAAATAGAAAAGCCCTTATGAAGGAGGACTGAATCTCCACGAGGTGTTGATTCTCTTATCCGTGGGTTTTCCTCTGTGTACTCCGGTTTCCTCCCACACTCCAAATACATGCTGGTAGGTTAATTGGCTCCTGTCTAAATTGGCCCTAGTATGTGTATGTATGGATATGAGTTAGGGACCTTAGATTGTACACCCCTTGAGGGTTAGGGACCAGGGGCGGACTGACCATTCGAGCACTGCCCGGGGTCAGTAGGGGGCCCCATGAAATGCCCGTTACCTTTTTTATAGGCTTTTTTTGGTGTGCTTTGAGTGGGGCAAGGACACAGGGGCCCCATGATCCCCTATTGCCCGGGGTCCCATTAGTTAGTCCGTGTCAGGGCAGGAACGCTGGAATGGGCAGGCAGGCCTATGGTACGGTCACGCTGCGACTGACGACAGCCACTACCCACAGACCAGAGTCCCTCAGGGCGCGGAGTCTAAGCCCCAGGCTACCCTTCACCAGGGCCCCTGATGGTGGGGATGGACTTGACGCAGCCTGAGACCAGGTCGCGGCCCCCGAGTGACCCCAGCTGCGATAACGACTGCCGCCAAGGGCGTACAGCTGGTGGGAGCTAGATGGGAACACGAGTAGAGCAGTCAGACAAGCCGGGTCAAAAACAACGGAGCAGACAGTACTAGACGGCAGGCAAAGAATACTCAGGTCACGGGCCGGGTTCAGCAACGGGAGGTCACATAAAGGGTTAACGCAGAGAGTAGTCTTGTCCAAGCCGAGTCGGTTACCAGGAGAGCAATGGGAACAACACAAGAGCTTGCAACAGGGCAACATACAGGACACAAGTGCAGAGCACACTTGCAGACAGCAGGTTTAAATGTGCTCAACCACACCCTTCTGAGGAGGAGCCGCAGAAGCCTGAAGGCATAAAGGTTCCCACCATGCTTTGCAGAAAACCAAGATGGATGCCAGCTCATGGAGATGCACAAGCTCTGAAGAAAGGTAGGACCTTGACAGTCCGCCCGTTAGGGACTGATGTGAATGTACAATATATATGTAAAGTGCTGCGTAAATTGACAGAGCTATATAAGTACCTGAAATAAATAAATAACACGCAGAACTCTTTTCTAAGAAATGTTTATTAGTCTTGCAGAGATCCTAGTTACTGTCATGCTGAAGAGATGACTTGGGGGGAAAAAAAAATACATAATCTTTCATTATAAACATCTACATATTGCACAATAAAATCACAACTGATAATGTCTTTATTATCAATGAGAATATTTTATTCTGCAGACATCGTTCTCCTAAAAAATATCTGCCTGTACTCTTTCATATTCAGGAAGCAGGCAACAGGCTCTCCTCTATCTCCGCCTTGACATCTCATTATTATACATATTTATCCTTAAATACACTTTAAATATATACAGACTTATAGAAACCTAAAACACATATGGACAGCATGATCTATAGGCAAGAACATATCTACATTTTCTTTTTTTCCTCTTCTATCAAATGCCCCGAGGGGTGCGCTAATGATTTAGTCTCTGTCCTTTCTGTAGGGTGTCATAAGGAAAGGTGTCAAAGCCCCTCCCCCCCTTAGACTTCCTGGTCATAAGGCTGGGAAGTTGGTGTGGGAGGAGCATCGGCAGCATTGGATTAGCAGATGGTAAAACTTCAATGAACCTGTTACAGTATTGTTTTTTTTATGTATTTAAAATAAAGAAATTGGTTGCGGTTGTATCAACGTAAGATCTATTTTAAAAAGCTTCCGTCGTTCCTTGCCACATAGGAAATGTCGGTGGAGTACCAGACCCAGGGGCACGTATAATATGTGATCTCCAGCACTCTGTCATACGGGATATTCTGGAGTAGTAAAGGATGAAAGGGCCACAAGTTTATACCAAGGCCAGTATAGATTTAGTAATCTTGATAAGTAATCCATAGAGCAAACCGACGCGTTTCGGGGGTCTCAGCTCTAATCCTCTGAAACACGCTGGGATTTATCTTCTGTTCTTTTATCAAAATGAATATTTCTATACTTTTCTTGTTATAAAGTTGTGGCCCTCGCATCATCCTCTACATCCTCTTTGGCCTGTTCCTTGCCATGATATAAAGAAATTGATGGCGCCCTCTCTGGCGATCAGAGGTAACATGTCTAGCTTCTGTCGTTCCTTGCCACATAGGAAATGTCGGTGTGGAGTACCAGACCCAGGGGCAAGTATAACGTGATCTCCAACTCTCTGTCATACGGGGTATTCTTATGGATCCCTGGAGTAGTAAAGGATGAGAGGGCCACAAGGTTATACCAAGGTCAGTATAGATTTCGTAATCTTGATAAGTAATCCATAGAGCAAACGACGCGTTTCGGGGGTCTCAGCTCTAATCCTCTGAAACATATTGGATTTATCTTCTGCTCTTTTATCAAAATGAATATTTCTATACTGTTCTTGTTATAAAGTTGTGGCCCTCTCATCCTCTACATTCTCTTTGGCCTGTTCCTTGCCATGGCATAAAGAAATTGATGGCGCCCTCTCTGGCGATCAGAGGTAAAATGTATAGCGGATCCAGAAAAGAAAAGAAAAAATATCCTGTGCTACACAAATCATTTCCTCCTATAGGCACTGCGTGGAGAACTTTAGTCACAATGTTCCAAACTGCAGAGAGCAGCCCTCTTACCTCTGCAATTGCAATGTCACCTCCATGCTAAGTGGTTGTCCAGGTACACACTAGGTTCAAGCTGTGCCCCTAGTGCCAGAAGGAAGCTCCGAATGCCCCATGCTGTGATCATGTGCTCCCCAATTTTAGTCTCAAGAATAGAGTTCAACTCAAAAGGAGGGGCTGTCCCGTGTTCTACATACAGCCTAGAACTTTGTGAAGTCTGAGCCCTTATCTGAGATGGGTCTCCCTGGGATGGACTGAGTCAGTGGCGTACCGAGGCGGGTGCAAGCCGTACCGGGTGACACCTACCGCATGGGGTGACACTGGACCCGCTCCACAAAAAGGTAAGTTGTAAAGCAAG